TAATTGATGTGTCCAAGTTAGGAATCGCTAATTAATGAATGATACTAATAAAAACGGATGTTCATTTTGATAAAGCAAAAGAAAATTATGTAGCAGTAATTAATTAAATAATGATATTAATGCGCGCGTGAAGTTGGTTTGTTGTATTTGCCTCAGCTTTTTTGTCTCAACTGGCAATTAAGCCGGTTTTTCTGTTTATGTGTTAAATATTATTCATATTCAATTTAAAGTTGACGACTAGACGTTTAAAAAAATGCATTTAATTTTTTTAAAACAGATATCAACAACAATCATATCAAGTTCTAATAACGTAAACCTAATGAAGATTTTGAAAAATCTGATAGAATCAATATTTTTGCAGAGTAAACAAATGGAACTTGGTGATAAAATGGACCTGGCAAGCTACTTGTTGAAACCTGTGCAGAGAATGGGAAAATATGCTCTCTTACTGCAGCAAATGATGAAAGCATGTCCGCAGTCAGTTTTGGGTTCTTCAGAACGATCGATTCAAGAACTTGAAGATCTGCGGCAAGCTGAAGAAATGGTGCGTTTTCAGCTCAGACACGGAAACGACCTGTTGGCCATGGATAGTATACGAGAATGTGATGTAAGTTTTAAAAAATCAATMATCGATTAACAMTTTGCATTAACAAGTTGCCAGTTGGTTGTTTGATGAAATCTTGAAGAATTATTATTTAAAAATTATTATTAACTAGTATGAGAGAAAGAATGCGTGAAAATAGGTACTTTTATGCAACCAAAAAGGGAAACAASTGAAGGAAACGATGATTTTAACATWACACTTAAAAGTTACATAAAATATACTGGGTGTCGATTTTTTGCACATTTGGAATCMTTAGGCTGGATTTTTTWAAGTTATGCSTTCTTAGATATTTAAAAAATTGCCGTTGTTCTCGATTATKYATGCCCAAAAATGTGGAAAAACCGAATATATATKAACGTAAAGACGATTAACTTAGGGCYCATTTGAGTCCATCAAGATAGACTTTGTCAATGACGGAAGCAGAAAATTTGAAATTTAATACAACCGGTWAAAATTAMAAAATAAGCTGATGTTGATGATGATTTCTTGAAAAMTATTACGTTTTCCGAATTAYAATTTTTTTGTCGAMWRCYWCWWWATTTRCGATTTTAKCTGMGCGTYYAAATWTKGAAWCTYTGAGCTKKASTSTCMACAGYTATARWYTAGCTGAGGACACTYTGTACATCTACATTGTTTTSYRCKTTARGAAYYTAAKTKTCGAATGYCA